GCTATAGTAGATAAGAATGCTGAATAGAAAGCATGTATGCAGTATGCAAATTGAAGATGTTCATATACATATGTTTAGATATATATCTATATGGTCCTACTTGCTGGAAACATTTCTAGCAGTAACTGCATTAATGTGTTAAAAAAGCAAAATGAAGCAAGTATATGCACTTGTAGTTTCTAGGTATGCTCTGAAGAAACACAGGTCAAAAGTAGTGCTCATCAATTGGGAATGATTCTCAGCCTCTGTTAGCCAGGCCCTGCCTGGTTTTCATGAAAAATGAAACGGACATCCAGACATTAAGACTGAAGTAACAGTGTTGGGCTCTGATCCAAATTCCTCTTAAGTTAATAGGAGACTTTCTGTTAAATTCAGTAGTGTAAGGATCAGGCCCTTAGAGTTCTGCCTTGTTAAAACATGTCCTTGCTTTACTTTCAGTCACATGGATGTTGTTTATGTTCCAACAGAAATGGGGTTAGAAGAGCCAACAGTAGCCACAAGGCAGCCACAAGTTAGAATCAAAACCCATGTGTAGGTTTCAACAGCTGCTTGGTTACCCAGATATACAGGTGAGGGTTAAAGTGCAACTTTTCAAAGTGGAAGTAAAATCATATCCCAAAGGAAGCTGTGGAGACGCCAGAATGGCATCGCTAGGCTGTTGCTCTTTTCTCTGACATGACTAAATTGAGCAGGATGTCCGTACCAAAACCATTTCTCAACTGCAGGAGTGGGTTGGATGTTTGGGGGTGAGGGAAATCCCAGTGTCGCTTTCCTTTAAGGAACTGACACCCCCCTGTGCCTGAATTCAGTCCATGATAAGAAGGACCATTGGTCCCAGGGCAGTTCTCCTTAGAAAAGAATAGCACAATTGAATGAGCAATGCTTAACCCCTTAGCCTAATTTAATTTGGCAATTATGCGTAAGGAGGTTTGGCACACAATAGGACAGTAGAAGGTGGATGAGAAAGTTCACTTTGCTCTAGAATTGGAAGGAAGGGCATGAGTTTGGTGAAAACGGTGGGGAATAACTTGATTCAGCACTTCCTGAACTTTGTGCAAAATGATCAACTCTCAACAATTTCTCTGAAGAACATCACTCATCTGTATCATCACACATTTCCTTGAAAGTATGATACAAGTAGAAACATTTTGTGGACTGAGAGTCATGCACCAGTACTTGTAATTAATATAATTATATTCATTATCATCAGAGTTAACGGTAGTGGGTTTTTTTGTTTCCTTCTTTTCCCTATTTCTCTTGTACTTTCATTCTCTTTCTGTTGGGATTTCAAAATGTTCTTCCCTCTTTTTCTTTGAGTTTCAGTAAAAACAATAGATTCTCATGGACAAAAAAAAAAAAAGGTGGTTTTGTGTTATGCCTAAAGGGCAGTCATAGTTTTTATGTAGCATTCCATTGTGTTGGCCTACCTACTTTGTCTTCACCTTCTGATTTTTTTTTTTAAATTTAGGCACAGTATTAGATGATGATGTTAGATGGAGAGGCAGGTCCATAAGAAACCCTACTCCCAGCCCGTGAGTAGGCTTTGACCTAAACTTCAGAACAAGTAGAAGCCACTCAAAGAGCATAAAGGACTGTCAAGAAAAGCTAGTTTGTGGTCCTAGTGTATATTTGCTAATGTATGTGTACAATACCATGTCCTACCAGTAACTAAATATAATATTCTGTCACCCTCTAGTGGTGGGTCTACAACACCATACTTCTGATAGTAGTGATAAAAGATTTTCTCACTGCACGTCTAGTAGGAGACCTTGTTGCATGTAGAAGATACTAAGCTTCAATGTTTGGTGACCTGTGTGTACAGATTTGTAATTTTGGTCTCCACTGCATATATCTGTAAATTAATTGTATCCTATAACTTCATGCCAAAAATTAGAGATGTAAATTGTCTGTGTTGGTTTTGGATAGATTATTTAACTAAGGGGGTTGGGGGGACGGGGGGGGTGTAAATTATTTCTGTGTTTTTCTCCTTGAATAAGGCAAGAGAAAATTGCTTGAATTCAAACCTGCAAAGCTAGGGAACATGACTGTACATTTGAAGCCCATATTGGCTAATCAAATCCCTTCTTTCTTAGTTTCTAGTTTTACCCATAATAAAAGTCCTTATCTAAGACTGTCTGATGATGTACTGGACAGGTGCAATGCCTATTCAAATCTGTGAAAGAGTAATTGTACGTGAAATGATAGTGTGACCTATGCATCATATATACTTCTTGGTATATTTCACAGTAAAGCAACATAACAAAGCCAAAATATTTGACATCACCTATTAAATTAGCTTCAGCAATACTTAGAAAATCTGTGTTTCTGACCCAGCCCTAGAAAAAGCTGAAAGTGCGGTATGCTGGAGAATAGCATTTAATGGGTTCATTTATTAAGATCCCCAGTAACTGATAATATTGATGTGTTTTACACTAATATTGGACAAGTTGGCTTCAGATCACATATGATTTAAAGCATCCTAAGTAGCAGCAAAATACTTGGTCTGAAACTGAAGTGTTGTGCTTTTCACTGCATCAGGAGGTAGTGAAACATACAGAAAGCTGATTGACAGCTTGAGACAACTGGAACAGTCCCTTTTGATCACTTTGCAGACTCTCTTCTCAGAGGTAAAGCAAGTGTTATTTGTCTCTGGCCTGAGACTGTACGATTCCTCCTAACATAACTTGGTATTTGAAGTATTAAATTATACTAACTATCTGATATGTCTGTAATTTTATCAGTATGGCCCATGCATTCACCACTTACGTGTGAACTCAGATTTACCCAATAATTAAATTGGTTTACTATATCTTTGTTAAAGAGGTGTATGGAAGCATCTTTGTAGTCACAAATGAACTATAAGTATGTATCAGTGTGTCACAAATAGTGCCACAAAGGCTTTTTGATACGTTCTCACCAGGAGGAATTGTTTAACCAATCTGCCCTTAGACACTTCAGGAGCAATTATCCCTGCTTGGACCAGATAGGGCCTGCCAGCTACATCATGGAAAGGCAAGCTGCTTTCATGACGGGACGATGCTCTCAGTAAAACTTCAAGTTTCTCAAGAAAGGACACAACATATGCCTCCTGTAATGTATAAAGAGGTCGGGACACTCAAGAGGAGGGTCCTGACCATGCTGCTAATTAGCAAACCTGCTTCTGAATCTCTGAAATTTCAGCAAACCTGCCAGTCTTTGCTCCCACACTCACGAGAGTGTCCTAAAAATACAACTGGGAAGAGGGGGGAAATATGTCTCATGTTGTCATGAACATTAGTTCAGTGTTTTAAAAATAATACCAAAAAAGTGGCAGATTTTGCACCTACTTTCAGGTTTTATTGTTTAGTGTCTCTGGGGTTTTCTGTCTGTATCTGAATCCTGCAAACATGCATATAATACATATTGCACACATGTACACCCACATGCAAGCAGAGCCAGGCAGATCCACAGAGGCAGAGGTTTGCATTCATTTTATCATATTCATTTAATTGTCCTTAGTTTACTGGAAAAAACAAGGGTTTTTTGCTAATGGCACTGCATGTATACTTAGGGAAAATGAAGTTACCTTTCTCATCTTTATCATCACAATTTCAATGAAGCAATTTCAGTAACACACGTGTCAGCGGATTGTTGGTGATGGTACATCCTTCAGAAAGAATACAAATAGACTTCACTGACCCTGGAGTGCTGAGACTAACATGAAACTTACCCTGACTTGTAAACTGAGCAAACATGACATGGAGGTCACAGAATAAGGGCATATATGCATCTTTCAGCCCTTGTTTTGACAAAGTGACTTCTTTCTCCGGGGGGACATTTCTGCCATTTTTTTCCAGCATGTTTCACCTTTCACTGACTATTAATCCCGGTATGACTTAACTGCAAATGATAATTCCCACCTATAAGCTCATGGGAGTTAATTCTTAAATTTTTTTTCATCATTTATTTGAGCACACAGAGTTAGCACTCAGAAGATCTAAGAAAATAAGGGTACGGAAAACAACTTAAATTGAGTTTAAGTAAGTAAGTCAAATGTAACAAGTTATAAATATTACAACAGAGAGTATTATTAAAATTCACATTCATTAATGGGAAGTTTTTATTACTAGCAGATTTAAGAAATCAGGGCAGACCGTAAAATTTTTTAAAATCTGTGCATTTTCTAATATTCTATGCAGTATTCTTCCAGGTTTAGTAAGATAGCTTCCCTGTGTCTGATGCAGTCTAACATTTATATAGACATCAGTTCTAAACAGAGTTTTCAGAACTTTATGAATGGTATTAACAAAGGAAGTTTTGCTAAAAGTGAACTTATTTAGAATATTTTTATTTTTCTGAATGCATGGCTCATGAAACATGTCTATACAGGCATGGATAGCTTCTCAGCACAGAATACTTCAAAATAAGGGTATTGGCACAGCAACTAGCATATTCATTCAATGCAGTAGAGCAACTGTGGATGGGGTTTAGCCTCTTCATTATGTTAGCTAACTGATAAAGCGCTATTAGCAGCTATCAATGTGTATGGCGAAGGACACTGAAATTCTTAGCCCTGGTTTGCAGATGGGAAAATGAGACACGTTGAAGACCACTGCAGACTTTTGCTGGAACCCACCCTCCCGAACCTCTTTTCAACGAGGCCATCAAATTTGAGGACGATAGTAGTGGCTGCTTATGTGAATAAATATGACAGGCTTGACTGTCTTCGTTGTGTAGGTTATTAGGTCAGCGATGAAAGTTTCAAGTCTGGAAAAAGCAAATGTCAGATTAGACTGGGAAAGAGAGGAGCTAACTTCTTTTTTTACAATGGTGAAGAGAAAAGTATAATGTAAAAGGGATTAATTCTTTTTCTAGTGTAATAACCATACTCCATTTCAAGGACAATTTGATGGTCCAGATATTTGTTCTCCCATGGTGCAACTCTTAAACAGACTTTAGGGTGTAGAACAGTAGCATTTTGTAGCTTCTAAGTATTGTCTGGTTTTTGTTTTTCTCAACAGAGCTACAGTGAACCTGTTGATGTTAAAGCCTCCCCACAACCTCAGATGATGAATTCAAAGCAGTCAGTGTTTCATGGGCCCACCCAGGCTCACTCTGCACTGTACCTCGGTTCCCACTACCACCAACAACCAGGAATGAATCCTCACATCACTGCCATGCATGCCAATATCCCCAGGAACATAGCGCCCAAGCCCAACAACCAAATGCCAGTGACTGTTTCCATAGCAAACATGGCTGTTTCCCCACCGCCACCTCTTCAGATCAGCCCCCCTCTGCACCAGCATCTCAACATCCAGCAACACCAGCCAATTTCAATGCAGCAGTCCATTGGAAACCAGCTACCGATGCAGGTCCAGTCTGCTTTACATTCACCTACAATGCAGCAAGTAAGTTTGAGCTTTTCTGTCGTCTGGGGAAATTTTTTGGGGGGGGGG